CAGAGAAGAGGGGTCGAAAACGACATCGTTGTCGGGGTTATTGGTATTATTAAAGTCGTGGTGGAGACCGTTCTTGGCGGAGTCGACGGAGCAGGCGACGGTCTGAGACTTGGCCTTCTTCATGGAGGAGGTGTGATTAGTGTTGGAGGTGTTGCTGATTGTGCGTTTGTTGGGGAGAGACATCAAAAACTCGTCAATTAAAGCATTGTAATCGTGTATTGAAGAGTGAAAATAATGAAGAAATGGAGATGATTTTCGAGTATTTTTTTTTTCTATCTCTTTGATGTATGAATAAGTGTGTTTGTGTGAGAAGATGGAAATGGATGGAGACGCACACAACACAAAGCCCCGTTCGCNATTGAAATGAACCTAAGCTTCTTTACAAAAAAAATTATTAAATTAGATCAATTTCCCATCACATACTAAAAACCCTAGCTTGGTCCCATTCTTTCCTTTCTGACCAATAAAACTAAAAACCCTAACACAGCTCTTCTTAAATGACTAACCAGACAAATTTTAAGAAAATGAGAACAATTAGATACACCTGTTCAATCCAAAAGTTAAATATTTCCTAATAACTAACAAAAAACAGATCCAAAACTTGAACCACGAGTAAGTCTCTAAGCTTGATTTATCAAAATACCCATAAGAAATTCAACTACCCAACGTTCAATTAAAAGTTAAATTTCCTCAAATGAACTTGTTAACACACGAAACCACTACCCAGATTCCACAATCCAACCAAACAAATTAAAAAGACGCATAAATTAAAGTAATTAATCAAAATAACGAGCTAAAAACCCGCCAACAATCACACAAAAACCCAACATTTAAACTTCACTAAACCTAAAAACGACACAAAACCCAATCGAAACAACAAACAAAAAAACCATAAAATTCTTCCTCAATTGTCGAAACCGTACCTTTAACAAGCTTGATGACGAGCTTCTTAGCAGGCTGAGGCGGCTGGGCTTTCTTGCGTCCCAAATTGGCGGCGGCAGGGGCACGAGAGTCATCGGTTTTAAGATCCTCATCGAGGGACAGAGAAGAGGGGTCGAAAACGACATCGTTGTCGGGGTTATTGGTATTATTAAAGTCGTGGTGGAGACCGTTCTTGGCGGAGTCGACGGAGCAGGCGACGGTCTGAGACTTGGCCTTCTTCATGGAGGAGGTGTGATTAGTGTTGGAGGTGTTGCTGATTGTGCGTTTGTTGGGGAGAGACATCAAAAACTCGTCAATTAAAGCATTGTAATCGTGTATTGAAGAGTGAAAATAATGAAGAAATGGAGATGATTTTCGAGTATTTTTTTTTCAATCTCTTTGATGTATGAATAAGTGTGTTTGTGTGAGAAGATGGAAATGGATGGAGACGCACACAACACAAAGCCCCGTTTGCTTTCCTTTACTTTGCCTTGCCTTCACTTTGCTCCTTGTTTTGTTTTTCTGCCCTTTATAATTTTTATTTTCTTTTTCTTGTAATAAAAAATTAGGAAAAATTGTGATCGGAAATTTTTTTTTTTTAAATAATCCTTTTAATGTAATATTCAACAACTATATATTAAAAATTTAAAAGAAGAGTATCATATTTCCTTAAAAAAAAAAAAAATTATTGTAACTTTGAATTATATATTAAACATTTCGTAATACATATTTGCTATTAGGATTCAATAATATTTTATTTACAATTGAATCATATAAAAAAGACAAAAATGAGACAAAATTCATGTAAAATGATTATTGTATCTTTTGTTTTTTTGTCTGTTTGTATAATTCAGTTATAAATATAACATTGTTCATTGGGATTTATATTTTTCATTTTTCGAAATCGTTGATACGCAGATATTGAGGAAACATGGCTAATTGAAATATTATTTCATTAATAAAATCTTCAATTGAATTTTTAGACTCTAGTAAAATTATAAATTCTCTCCCCTCGTAATCGGATGGCAAATTCTTGAGCCACTATAGGTAAACTATACCCATAGATTATTATCTTCGAGTCGCGGAAAAGACAATTACTTGGTTTATACTAACTTGTAAATTTCAAATATATATATATTATGTAGCTTTTTTAACTCTTAAAAAAAAATTGTATATTAATAATTAAATATGCTATCATGTATTTAAATTATGATACATAATTCAAACCTTTGGATTGTATCATTAACATTTAAAAAAAAAAAATTACTTTTGAATTACAAATAAAAATAAATATTTAAACTATTTTCCATTTATAATGCGGGTATTTTTTAATTTTTCTTATACCTCTGAACGGATAAAGTGGATGAGAAACGACTTCCAATAAAATCCATTTAAACGTTTGGGCTTTAAAGGTTGAATGGGCCTGCCATTTAGAAGGTCTAGAATCTTCTGGACTACCCATTTAGAAGGCTAAACCTTGCAATCTGGGCTGAAGTAGCCCAACATTTGTTTAGCCCAAGAGTTTTTTTAAAGTAATTTTTAGCCCCCCACCTAATTGATCTTCACCCTTTACTTTTAAATTTATTTTTTATTTTGATAAATTTAACCTTAATTTAAATTACTAAAAATAACATTATAATTTCTTAATACACTCATGCTCTATTTTATATATATATATATTTTAAATTTCATAATCGCTGAAACATTTTATTTTGTTTTAAATATTTATTTATTTGATAAAAACATAATACAAATTATGAAAAACATAACAGGATAAATCTGAATCTAAAGAAGATAAAATAAGTTAAACGATGTAAAACAAAAATCTAATTAAGTTTTAAATTGGGCAAAGTAGATCTAATTAGCTTTAAAATGTTATTTTTAGTTTCAAATAATATATTTTTTTATTATAAAAGAGATGTATTAACCATGACGGTTGATAATTCAATTAGATGGGGGTTAAAAATCATTTTTCTTAAAAACAAAGTTTGAGCCTGTAATAACTGTACAAGATAAACCCAATAACAATGACATAATATAAGTAACGGTAAATCCTGGCCGGTCGATCCACTATAATTCTAAAAAGGTTTATTTCATCCTTTTTAATATATTAAAGCCATTTATATTAAGTTAAAACTAAGAAACACTTTTAAATTTAACACAAATAAAGCAATTGATATTCCAATAATCACCTTGACCATGACTATAGAGGACTAAGGAGGGTTAAATATGTAAAAACACAAGTATTCAACGCAATCCAGTTGGCCGCGGTGACAGAAGGCGTCTTTGCTGCTATGAATATTGAATAAGTCATGAATAATAAGACCAATCATGAAATCTTACGTTTTCTATTTAGAATTTCTGTTAGCAAACGCAAACGGCTCCCAGGGGAGATTTGTGACAATTTTTTAAAAGTGGGAGGTAATTTTTCATACCTTTGGGGTGTGATTTATAAATCTAAACCTCAAGGGAGGCTAAGGATAGCAGTCCTAAATTAATATTTTTTTTTTTTTTTGTCAAATCAGCTTACGTATACCTCAACTAATCCATCAGAACTTTAAAATTATCGATCGGATAAAAGTTATAGTGATTACCCCTATTAATAATCAAAGAGAGATTTAAACTCAAAACTTTTTAAGTAATATATTCAAAAGTATTTATCAAATCATTCAATCACCCAGACATAATTGACCTAAAGTAAATTGCGTTTGCATGCTACGAACAAATTCCCAAGGCTAGGCTTCCACGGAAAGTAATTGGAATCAATATGGGTGTGACAAAAAGAAAATTATTGCAGAAATAGGACAAAATAATTTTAATGATCAATTGACTTTTTAAGCAGTTAATAAATTTTCCGATACTATACAGTTTTGAATCATTTGACAAATTTTATTTGAAGAACTGGTTCTTCTTCGCACCGTGTAACTTTAAAAGTCTAAAATAGTGATGAATTGATGAGCTAAAATTTGTAGGTAAAGTATCTAATTTAATTAAATATTATTATATTAATGTGCTTTGGATATAAAGTGATAGGATGTTTGATTTTTTAAATAATACATTAATAATAAATAACCTTATAAGTGGATTAGACTTATCATATTATAAAATAATATATAAAATTGGCACTTTATAAATATAATATTTCTATTTATTATGATAATTTCATGAGTTATTAAAGTGTTTGTGTTGTTCAGGCCACCAGGGCTCTCACAAAAATATTTAATTTTTATGTGCCCTTACACTTTATTGTTTTACATTTGACCTCCTTTACTTGTTAAATCTTACACATTGTCCCCCTCAAATGCAATTTCTTAAATACATTTATTATCTTTGGTCTCCAATTGTAATTTCCTGATTCCTCCACTGTTCCCACGTGTCATAATTTCACATATCACAATATATCACATATTTGTACTCGTATATATATAATTTGTATATACCTGTACATCAAGTATATATACTTGTAACTTTACTTACTTTTGGGAATATTCCTGTACGTGGTATAAATAATATCCATTTTATGATAGCAATAAAGATAAGCTAACAAATCATTCTCAATAATTTTTTTTTAGAAACGCGATATGACAGTTCACAATTGGTTATATGAGACATATTGTTGGACAAGCGAGATTCATTACTAGTTGGCCAATTGCAAACTGCTATATCTCGTTTATGAGAGAAAATTAATAATAAATATTTGTGAGCGTAATATTATCCTTATAGGAAATGGTATGCCTTACCACGGTATACGTACGAATAACGTACCATTCGTAAGTACTTAAAATCTTATGAAAATAACATATCGGGATATTTTGAGAAATTTATAGCAGTTATGAAACTGAGAAAATTATTCAGATGCATGTGGTCTAAAACCTTAGTGCATAATATTGACTTGATCGTGATTCCAAAATGCGTGCTTTGACTTAGACTTGGTGTTCTTTCAGACTGCTAGTTTTAACGGTCAATTGGTCTCCTCTCCTAACAGTCAAGAACCACACCCCGGCCGTACTCTTTTTCTTCTCTATAAAAAGTTAAAACCACTCACGAAATCAATATAAAATTATAATTCACTAGAGATTCAGCTCAAACTACTCGGAGAAACTCCCAGAAAGTTAGCGCCTTCAAGAGAAGATTCGAATCCAGTTCTCTCTTATAATAATGTCTGGTTCAAAACGTCAGGCGGTCAAAATAGTTCTTATCGATACTCAGTACGTTGAAACTGACCAAAAGAGCTTCAAATCAGTGGTTCAGCAGCTCACAGGCAAAGATTCATGCGTTGCATGGATACAAGGGAGCTCCCCCAAGGGTGCAAAAACAGAGACATTGCATAACAAGCAGCTGGAAGATAATCATGTTTATAGTTATGATAATCAAAGAGGCAATGATGGTACTACTGCATCGGCTTCTATTTTGTCAAAAGGCATGTCGTTTAACGATTTAGATGGGTTGATTTTGGAGCTTCCTGTAGAGGATTTCTCATGGTTGTATAACTATTGCAGTACTGATTCACAATGCTAGTATTTTTTTTTTTCTTTTTTTTTTTTTTTTTTTGGTTAATAAAAATTCTGTCTTATTATTATAATTTGTTGAGTACTGTGTGTTTGTGAATGTGTGGCTGCCCAGGACTCCACGGCGCATGGAGATAAAATACTTGGTGTTGGTGGTGGGTATCTTTCAGAGAACTGGCAAGTGATGAGATATCAGATTAAAATACATTAAGCTCTGAGATATTTATTTGAAGGAATGGGTGATGATTAATAAAGAATAAAGATAACAATTTACAATTATATGAACTGATAATGAGTTTCTGAAACACGGAGGAAAAAAAAAAACTAAAATATACGAACTGTCTACTACTTACAAAAATATGATTTCCCTTCATCTTCATTTCATTTTGTTAATATCATACCATAGATTAATAAATTAATCAAATTATTGTTTTACATTGTTAGAAGTTGTATTTGTTTCACGTCGCCAATTGATGAACTGTTATGTTATATATATGTGGTTGGACTCTCTCATCTCTTGAGTTAGCTTTTGCGGGTGAGTTTTACCTCTTCTGTCTCCAAGATTGACTTGGGAGCCTAAGGGATCCCTAAAATGCCTACCCCAAATGGGACTGGGATTTCCCGGCCTAGGGGATATGGTTACTCCCATCCTCGGCCTAGCCCGCCTTGATATTATTTTATATTCTATTATTTAGGTTTTTCTTATCATGCTTTATTATTATTATTTTTTTCAAGAAAAAGTAAAAAAATATTATTTTTCATTATGCTACTTGGTATATGAAAATATAGTAAAATGAAATTGTTTCTTTAAAAATTTTAAAATATAATAATATTATTATTAGATCAATTGAGCTTCAATATTATGATTTACTACTTCTTACGTTTATATAGTTAGTCTCGTAATTGTGATATTTACTTTCCATGGATAGAGAATATAATGTATAAAAATATTTATCATATTAGTAAGTTGAATTTGTAACCCAAAAAATAATTTTTATTGTAACTGGGAATTATGTATGTATCAAATTAATATTAAAGGGGAGGAAAAGCATGATTTTATTGATATTAAATGTGAAATATATATATATATACATGAGTCAGGGATGGAGCAGGCGAGGGACATGACCACCTTCGTCCCCGAGACCGGGAAATGTCATTGGGCCTAGGCTCGTCCCAGCTCCCAACTATTTCGGAGAATCCCCCACCTCGTTTGGGCAAGGGCAAGGTGGGTTTGCGACGAAGCGGGGTAAATGTCTGTCCCTAGTAAGAGTAATGCCACAATTACCGATGGTAGTACATCGAATTTGTACACCGAATGATGTGGTAAAATCTTGACCGTTAATTAATATTAAATTAAAATTAATCAACGATCAGGATTTTGCTACGTTATTCAGTGTACTACCGTCAGTGGCTGTATTATTTTTCCCCTAGTAAACGGCATCATAATCACATTTGTATGGGTGTATTTTCTAGACTTTTCCTAACAATGTTCTATACTGTTGCACTGGTTTCTGGACTTTTCCTTACGCCGTTTCTTCGAGGTTATTGTAATCTGTTTTTTTTCTTTTAAGTCTCTATTATTGTAAGAGACAAAAATGTCGGCAAAAAGGTCTCCACTTGTATGTTAGCTATGAAGAAAGTGATGGTTATATACATACATATGAGCTCCACATGTAGTGGACCGGTATTTTTGTCATCTAATGTTTATGCATGTCATTGATTCTTGACTTATCGCTACATGCAACTTATATATCAGACCGAAACATAGTACAGTATTATTTTAATTAATTTTCCAAACACAATTACATAAGACAGAGTAATGTAAAGAATTTATAACCAACAAAATTTTCAGGTCAATTTTTTATGATATCAAATAGAATAAAATTTTGAGTATTACAATGGTATTGTGTAGGGGTTGGCAAAATTTTAAGGTAGAACCATAACCGACGGGTACCTGAGTGTCGGTTCCGGTCCCTATCCAGAACCGATCGTAACAAGGTAGGTTTCCGTTCCAAAAAATTGGAACCGATACTGTGCAGTTTCGGTTCCAGTTCCAAATCAAAGGAACCAAAACCGGAACCATAACTAAATTGATATAATATTAAAGAATAGGGTTTTTTTTTTTTTTTTGATATTTTGCATATCATATAAATATATAAGAAAATTTTGGTTTTTTTTTATCTTATTATCAAAAGTCTTATTAATTTTCATTAAAAAATCAATTTTTCAAAATATTCTTATTAATATTTAAGTTTCACTGATTACTTGATTAAAAAATTAATATACATTAAGACATTTATGTTAAATAATAGCTTTTAAATGTTTATTATCGGTGAAAACAAATAATTAAATACTTATAAGTTATAATCAATCATTAAACATCAAGTAAATATAAACAAATATATTATTTAGTGTTTTACACTTAATTGTTAGGGGTGTAATTATAATTTTATAAGGGTTTATTTGTCATTTTTTTTAAATTAAGGGATAATTGATATTTTTTAAGGTACCCGAAATTGTCGGTTTCGGTTACGGTTCCAAATCAAAGGAACCAGCTGGTTCTGATTCTGGTTCCTTTGATTTTGGGTGGGTACCCAGACCCACCCACCCCTAGTATCGTGTTAGTTATGTTATAAACTTATATATCAAATGATTAAGTATTATAGTGGCATCACACTATCACTATTATTCCATCGGTCCAATTGTGGGTCAAAGTAGGTTAACTGTTAAAAACGATTTTTTGGTGTAACTGATCTGACTAAGCCCCTATTTCTCAGGCTCAGCTGGGCCAGGCTCTAAAACATTGGTCCCATGAATTGAGATACATATGAAAACAAGGAATTACATATGATGCGCTCTTATGGCTTGTGGGAACTGCTTTGACCTTGACACGCTAATAGTCTTGACCTAAAATTCAATATTTGTTGGCCCATGAATGCCCCATTTCCTCGTTTGTGGCACAAAGCAAAATAGAGACTCTCCAAAGTGGACTTTGAATTAGAGAGGACAGTTCGTTCGCCCATCATGAATACCTCATCTTTCCTGTTACATATTTGGCAAGTTTCTTACCAGCCAATCATCAACCAAATAATCCAAAATAAATAAATAAATAAAAATTATGCCTTCCAATACCCATTAAGGTTCAAAACAAATTTAAAGAAATATTTGAAACCATGTTTGTCAAAATCGTGTATTATATCGTATATCAAAAACCTAATTTTTTGTATAGCGTATCGCATAAATAAAATAATAAAAAATTCTAAAAATGAATATCATTCCGAAGATTAATTAACGAATTTTGTCATATTATTAGCTTTAAATTATGGTTTTACATAATCAAAATTAATCACAAAATTAAGAATCTATATTATTTCCTCTCAATTATTCATATCATTTCCAAGATCAATATCAATATTTATGTTATTATTATCATGTAAAATAGGCAACACATCTTCCTCTTCACTTTCTCCATGCAAAATGGGTAAATTTGGGTGGATTTTAGTGAATTGGGTTAGGTGACCCGGATCTGACCTGAAATTGTTTTTGGGCCTTTGGCCCAACTTAATAAAGTCGTATCGATATTTTTAAGGATACGAACTAATACGTATCGTATCATAGGATACATATCAACGTATCGAAAGGTTTATAATACACTTTCTGATACGTATAGTTGGTGACTCGTATCGAATCGTATGGTAGGATACGTATCGTGTATCGTAGGATACTAATAAACATGGTTGAAACATGTAAACATATTTATAAGCCTTTGTTTGGTGTCCTTGCATTGAATGAAACATGTAAACATATTTATAAGGCCTTGTTTGGTGTCCTTACTTGCATTGAATGAAACGTGTAAACATATTTATAAGGCCTTGTTTGATGTCCTAACTTTTTTTATTTTTATTTTTATTTTTTATGATCAGGGTGTCTGGATCAGCTTATGCGTATCTCGACTAATCCTTGTGATCCACTGAATACCCTACAAACCCAATGTTCTAAGATAAGTCACAAATGTGATAGGTGACCCTAAGATTCGAACTCAAGAAATCAATGAAGAGAGAAAATCTTCTTGACCGTCAGACCAACCCCTTAGAGTATTATTCATATCATTCCCAAGATCAATGTCAATATTTATGTTATTATTATCATGTAAAATGGGCAACACACCTTCTTCTTCACTTTCTCCATGCAAAATGGGTAAATTTGGGTGGGTTTTAGTGAATTGGGTTGTGTGACCTGAATTTGACCTGAAATTTTTTTTGGGCCTTTGGCCCAAAGTAATAAAGTCGTATTGATATTTTTAAGGATACGAACTAATACGTATCGTATCGTAGGATACATATCAACATATTGAAAGGTTTATGATACACTCTCTGATATGTATCGTTGGTGACTCATATCGTAAGATACATATCGTATATCTTAAGATACTAATAACCATGGTTGAAACATGTAAACATATTTATAAGCCTTTGTTTGGTGTCCTTGCATTGAATGAAACATGTAAACATATTTATAAGGCCTTGTTTGGTGTCCTTGCAGTGAATGAAACATGTAAACATATTTATAAGGCCTTGTTTGGTGTCCTTACTTGCATTGCATGGAACGTGTAAACATATTTATAAGGCCTTGTTTGATGTCCTAACACTTTTTTGGTGATATGGTTTACACCCTACTCCTCGCCTAGCTAGCCTTGATATATTTTATTTCTATTGTTTAGGTTTTTCTTATCATGCTTTATTTTTTTTTTCAAGAAAAAATACATTATTTTTTATACGCTACTTGGTTGAAATATAGTAAAATGAGAATTGTTCTTTAACAATTTTAATATAACAATATTATATAGATTATTGAGCTTCAATATTATGATTTACTATTCTTACTTATATAGTTATTGTTCGTAATGTGATATTACTTTCCGTGTGATGGCAAAATAACGGGCCCGAGACCAGGTAACCCTTGGCGCTAAGGCCTAAGCCCCACCTAGGCAAAGGCCCAAGCCCAGTCTGG